TGTGTCTTTATTATGACGCAACGACTAGTCGATTAGTCGACTACTATTTTGAAAAACTAGTCGACTAGTAAATATTGGTAGTTGTGAAACCCCTAGTGTGTGCTCACACCCACAAACTCACAGCCTCACCGTGTCCCGCCGTCTCAAGCTGAGAAAAGATTGAACACGGCACCCAGACCCCATGCAGCATTCTCATCTGTTTGTCATTACTGGTGTCATTTTCTGGTTACTAACAAACGCTGTTGTAACACATAAACAAACATCAGAGCACAGTGGGCTCATAGGGAGGGGGGCAGGAGCTCCAACAAGCCGTTTAGGACAGAGAGTGAATACACATACTATACAGAGATGCTGTATGAGAAACCAATGTGAGTTTGGACAATTTAACAATGTAAATCTGTTCTAGTAGACCTCAACAATGGAATTATGATCAGTGGAAATGGCCATGACATGATGGGACCTTAAAATAAGTACCAATCCTTTTTTGTATGCAGAATGGTATAGATGGGCATAAAGTGTCCATGTTTTCTGACCATGAGTGAGTGAAATAACATGATAAAAGACAGATTGAGTCCACCATGGCAGTCTGCAGCACTGCAAGAGCATAAAGAAGATATGTTAATTTCCAGACAAGGTGGTCTGTTGAAGATTCCAAAAAGGTTGTTCAAGCAACTCACCAACCTGGCTGCAGTCTTCCTTGCACTGCGGGAAAGTAAAGGCCTCTACATTATAAATGAAAGCCATACAGGGAGAGAGAATAAACAGTTCCGCACAGAAGTGCAAGAGACGCATCATTTCAGAGGCATTAAGCGAGACGGGATTCAATTTCGTCTTGCCTGCTGGAGCGTGTCCTCTCGTCTGTCACTTCCGCCTTTTACCAGCAGTTCCTGAGCCAAAAGGAGGCCATCCTCACATTTCCCATCACAGTCATCTCTTGTTCCTATCACACACTGGACATGGTGACATAGTTGAATCAGCATAGCCGACACTGATCTTTGTCCACAGCTATTCCTCCCTGGCCGCATGCTTTTGCCCATTGCAGATCATAAAACCTGGCTTGGGTGTCCTTATCGTGTGAATCCCACAGGCAAAAATACATAAAACTGCCACTGTAATATGACAAGGCCAAGTACCAAGTTAAAATAGTGATGGTGTGGGTGGATATCACAAACACTGTTATTTTCAGTCAAAGACAGGCTGGAATTTGGAGGATTGGCCAAACTCTGTGGGCTGTGGAGTGCTTACAGCTCAGTCAAAGTTTGCTTGGGTAATCTTAGATTAGTTTTTGTCCAATAAAATCAGCCACAGTAGCCGAGACTGGCAGGTATTTGAAAAGCCTAAAGGGGTTTGTACTTTCACAACATACTCATCCATGGAATGAGAACACCACCACAACACCATTCAAGTTTGAGCTATTGAATACTGACTCTATATTGCAATGTGATTCAATTGGCATTTGAGACAATGTCTAGAAAAAAAGTGAGAGAAAATCTGCAGTACAAAGATTCTCAAAAGCGAATCAGAGTCTAACTTTGTGTTATTGATTTTTCACCCCGTCTGTCGGGAGGTATTATAGTAAAATGATTAAATGAGAAGTATAAGAGGATATTGAAACCTTTTTATTTTATCTCAAGGCCACAATGTTCTCAACCTGTGCTGAGAAGAAAGATTCAACTCCGAGTGGATTTCCAATTTCTGCCTCCAGGTGACCTTCACAATTTCCACAGTTATTTAAACATAAGGATGTGGAAATTAACCTTATTTATGTTTCAATTGATTGCTTCTTTGTCATCAAGTTGCATTCATTCCACATGATAAATACTTAATTTGTTATTAGATCTATAAATGACAAATTAATGTGCTAGTTCCCTGGTATAACGCAAGGTCTATGTCCTTCTGAGTGTAGTGGGAACTTTCCATTTTCAAAAAGGTAATGGACATGGTGAAATAATAGAGTTATAATACCTACAGAGAATAAGACATGTTCTCTACTCATTCTGAAGTGTCCTAATGCCCCCTGATTAGAAGCCTCTGCCTCTGAGTTGATTCCCATTTTGTCAGTGAAATTACTGCACTTTTTGGAGTGCTGCAGGATCACCTCATGGCACGCTGTAAAGTTTTACAAAACTCCTCTCAAAATGACACAATCTCCTCGGCTGTTTGGTGTGATAGCCCCTTGGCTTAAAGCACTGTCATCAGTCAGGCAAGCAGCTCTGAGCTTCGCCAGGATTGGTATGACCAGGGACATGTGATGTTTTCATACCACATTTTAAAAAGGCATAAGGATGTGAGTCACACAGGTAAAACATGAGACTCATTTAGGCTGTTAGTAGAGTTTAATGTGTGGATTATTTCTAAATATTAGAAAATAAATATGAACCACAGGCAAAGGAGGTTTTTCCACCCGATCTTGCTGTATTTATTCTTAAATGTATTTTATTTTAATTTGTAAAGCACTTTGAATTGCCGTGTGCTGAAAGGTGCTGTATAAATAAACTTGCCTTTCCTTGCCTCCTCTTGATCTATTCTCTCCTAAAGTAACCAACCCTCATTATCTTTGTTTCGGTTCAGAAAATGTTTTGATCATAGTTTTAAAAGGAATAATATGTGCTCATAATGAGATGAGAATTTAAACAATTTTCCCTACGTTTTCTTTTTGTTAGCATTGTCTTTGTTCTTTTTTTATTGTAATCATAAAATATCACATAGTGTGTTTCACCTTTGCCAAAATGATCTGAGCTTTTAGGTGCCATCCCAGCACTGCTACATACAAAGTGCTGTTTGCTTTGGGCTCTCTCCATGGGGCTGGAAAGCTCTGCTTTTACACTTTTGTCGAGCAGAAGACCCTCTGATTTACAGTACATGAACAGTGACCTCGTGCTACCAGATCTGATCTTCTTCATGTGTCTAAGGTCACTTTGCATCCCTGTTGTGTTGTTCTCTAAAAGTGTTTGACTTCAGATGCCCCTGCTGATGTATTGCTCCCAGGCAAACGCGGACTAACATACTTACAGCCTTTTAGTGAAACAGTGACACATAGCTGTACCAAGCATGAGTGAAGTTGATTGAAAGCTGGATTACTTTGGTTTTATGAGGACAGGGAAAGAGTTCAACAATATATTGCTCTCTCCGTGCAAAAATCTGTTAGGGCAGGGCAAGATAAATGTATGTATTTATGAATAGTGTGATATAAGGTTAGATATGTACTTACATTTTGGATATTGTAAGATCAAACAGGTGTCTTTTCTAGGTTTTACAATTTATAATAAAACTGATGCTATTTTCCGAACGGACAGTTCTAGCTGTTTATTATAACCCTTATAATGTCAAAATATCGACATTACTGATGAATATGTATACGATTGGATTTTCTTCATTTTGCCCAGTAGGCTACTACATAGAAGAATCAGCTATATGACGCCTGTTTTGGGGGTATAGTTTGAGCAAGTCTGGTTATTAACAAATATTAAAGCTACTATTGTTTCAAATAGGACAGAAAAATACATTTATATGAATATATGTATACCAAAATGCAGAGGTGTGGACTCGAGTCACCAATTTGATGACTTGAGACTCGATTTGACAAAATCACAAAAGACTTGCGACTCGACTTGGACTTGAGCCTTCTGACTTGAGGTGACTTGATAATTTAATTCAGAGGTCTCCAACACGCCGATCGCGAGATCCCGCTAGAAGAGCAGACTCCCGTCGGGGAGAGCAGAATCTTCAGCCGCTCCTACTCTTGCTGAGAATCCTTGCAGGCAGGGGCGGGACTTTATTTAGCTGGGCCACCATGCGGCCAATCATATGCGAGGACACACTAGGATCATACCATTATGTGAAAGAAGCGTGGGGGGAACAGCAGGTGTAGTGGTACAGGCCAGCTGCACAGAGCGACGGTTTGAATTGCAAGCGCGTCGGAAAAAGTCAAGAAATTAGCGAAAACCGAAAAAAGAAGCAGCATCTGGCTGCATTTCAATGATATTGGAGAAAGCAAAGCTGAGTGCAGGATTTGTAAAATGAAAATAACCTTCAGAGCAGGGTTGTTTTTATTTGGTAACCACTCAGGATTTATTGTCAGAGGTGGGAGAAGTTCAGATGTACTTGAGTAAAAGTACCAGAGTGTAGGAATACTCGGTTACAATAAAAAGTCCTGCATTCAAAATGTTACAAGTAAAAGTACAAAAGTATTAGCATCAAAATATACTTAAAGTACCACCTGCAGAGGGATCTAGATTCAGGTGTTCTTTTCCCCATAGAGACCGCCTCGCTGCACATTATCCCTTGCATAAAGATAGATTGTGGGTCCCTTATAACATGTTGTACACAGTGGAAATAAACATTCTGGTCACCTCAACATCAGGGATCTTATACATTAAACTCCTTCTGAATCAAACCGTTACGGTAGCCTTACCTTACTGATCCCTCTTAAATTAGAAAAAAACACGTTACTTGAGCGCAAAGACTTGAGAGACTTGACTCGGACTTGCAAAACAATGACTTGGTCCCACCTCCGGTATGAAGTGTGGCATTCATTGCTGCTGCGCTATCAGCCACCTGTCTGTTTGACTGCAGTAGCCTAACCGTGCCACCGTGACGACTGTAACTGAACCATGATTCTGTGAAACCCCTGGTATAAAATGTCTCTTTTGTGAGATTGGTACAAAGAGCATTGTGAAACGTGCATTATACAGAATGTACCAAATGAGCCATTACCCAGGCTTTATTTGCTGGCGGTGACTGTTATTTAAGAACATTTTTTAATACAGACTTTAATTAGAAAATGTAAGGTATGAATTGAGTTGGCAGGGTGACCAGCATGTATTTGTCAGAAGAATCATACTGTTCTTAAAGTGGAATAAAAAGGAAATCTAGCCACCACACACCGAATGATGCTAATAGAGTTGTGTGTGTGCACGCTCAGGAGTCTGTGGAGATGAGGAAGATGGAGACCAGTGCCAGCAGTACCCTCCCAGTGCCTGGCTCCGGTCTGGAGACCCAGGCCCGAGCTGCCTCCATGCCTCGACTCAACGCTGAGCTGCAGGTAACTCCTCTCCTACAGCTGCGGCCATTTTAAGTGCCAATATATTGTAATATTATTATGATTTTCATTATTATATGGCTCATTATCCGAACATATCGTTATTTTTTACCAACCGGGGGTACGGGTACCCCTAAGGGTACTAAAGGTTATTGCAGGGGGTCCGTAGAAAGATTAAGGATTTCGATATATTTCCACGCAAAAAAGATTTAAAAATACATTTACATAAGCCTTGGTCTAGTTCGGCGTCCGCAGGTAAGAGTTCCTCCTGGGATGGTGTTGATTGTAACACCACTTTAGTTCATGCTGCGGAGAAGCGCATTAAAATGTGCTAATATTATCTGTAAATTAGGGGTAAGAGTGGATGCATGGTTAGGCATGGATAGGCGGAACCAGGCTTAGGAGAGCCCAATGAAAAAAAGAAGCGGCCAAGACCCAACACATGCAGTTCAGTGAGAAATACATTTCTCATGAATTTACAGTTTTTTATTTTGTAGTCCTGGCATGGATTTCTATGAAGCCAGCCTACATGCAATGCTAGAGCACCAAACACGCTTGAAGTTTCTATATTTTATTAGTTTTAGTCTAATTTTTGATGTGACATTGATGACACTTAATTTTTTTGTAGAAAAGGCAGCGTGTCTCTTTATTAGCAGACTGTGATGGTTCACTCAGACACAGTGAATCATCCCAGATGTGAGATGCTGCTCTATAGTGCAACAGGTCATGCAGATAAATGAAACTGAGGACTTCAGCAGGAGGGGGTACAGTTGTATTCATAAGGAGCCTAACATATTTCACACATACATTTAGGAAACTCAATAAAACATTGAAGCATTGAACCAGTTATTAGTTTGTCCATTCATCGATATTTACATTCTGTTTTAGGATTGATTGACTAAAGCTTGAAATATATTTCCTTGTTTTTTAAAATGTTTTATCAATTTTCAGTCTTGTTTTGTGTGTATTTTTGTTCATAATTGTATTTAACAATTATCACTGCACCACACTCACAACTCTGATTTCACCTTGCAAACACAAACATACTAACGCTTGGGTGACATCATAACAACTGTCACAGAGCTATTTAAAAAACAAAACACATATGATCTGGGACTTACTATTTATAAGGTTATGGCTGACTAATCTACATAATTATTTTACTAGATCCTTTGAAACAAAATAAGCTCCTCATTTCCTGGGTGATATTGATTGATTCATGAATTCAAGGTCCTTTCCTTTCACAGCCCAATTGGAAGAGCCCTCTGTCTCTCTGCAGAGGAAAAGTAATCTGATTAGATCCTGGCAGGCCGCCAGCCATTTTTCCAGTATCTTCTTTCTCCTGCTGACAACCAAAATGATGATCGGGGCTCCAAATGGCTTTAGGCCCCAGATTCACTGGGAGAGGCACAGGGTAATTTGGTTACCGTAGAGGAAAAGCAGTCTGGAGAGAGGATTAATAAAAGATGGAAGGAGGCAGGGCGGAAGGTGGCCTTGTTGACTGGCTGTCTTATGTTTCTCACCTTTTAGAATAGCAGGCAGGAAATCCTCACGCAAATTCAATTATTGCCAGAAACTTCCTATTGCAGGAGTTTGATGGGAACTGCACCGTGTAGTCCCAATTTCTTATTTGTGTGGGGCTAATATGCTTAAACCTCAGAGAGACCCTCAGTTTTCCTCCTGCTTTGTTGAAAGTGATGGTGCACAAACATTAGAGTCCACAATCAGTTCTTTCAGCCGCTGATGAGGAACATTCACCTACCTGTTTAAAACAGTATATACAGATCCCCATTTGAATTATCAGGGGCTGCTCCCCTTAACGGATTCCGATCCTAACCCTGGCCACTACATACTCAATACTGTGGACAATCCCCACAGGAGCAATTTGGGGTGAAGTGTCTTGCCCAGGGACACAATGACACGCTGACTGCAGTGGGGTTCGCCTCAATGACTCTTCATTGCATAAAGGTGTTCCTCTCCATCTCCAGAGAGAAATCTAACACAATGGTGCTTTTGAGTATGCCCCAGCCCGTACTTTAACCCTGGGCAACTCCAGAATGTCCAGCCCCGCTCTAAGTGTTTGGTTTCAGACCCAAAGCGATGCGGTGGGCCCGACCATATGTATTTAGTCCTGCTCAACCTGCCTCACTAACTCTGCTCAGCATGGCACTGCCTGACCCCAGGCGCTCGCTGGCTGCTGGTTTGTCTGTTTGGGGAAAAGTACTGTTCTCCTTTTTGGCCCACTCACATGCCCAGGGGGACCCTAACAGAGCTCCCTGGATCGCGAAGATCCAGGGGGGGGAATGTTAATAATATAATGCTCTTGCACTCATTCATCTGAATGAATATTCTGCTTACTTACATGTTTACTTATCAATAATTAAACAGTCTAAAGACAATGGGGTGTTTAAAACACATTCACAGTTAATTTACTATTTGCTACATACAAGTACATTTTGCTGCTATAAATGCAGGACCTTTATTTGAAGAATGATTTATGAACACTGTACTGTGAAATAAAAATATGTTTAGATAATGAACTAATACTGAATGCCACTTTGTGTGGGCTATAGTAAATCTCTGACTGGCACACAACAATGCTTGTATCATCAAAAACATAATAGTAGACAATGATTCTTAAATACCTCCTGAACCAACTCAAAATCTTTCCCCCCCAAAAAACTATCATTTGCTTAATAACTCAATACAAAGTGGCTTTCTGTAAAGGATTTGAATGTTTCTGACACAGCTAAATGTAGCTGTTGTTGATCCTGGCTAATGTTCCTCCACTTGTTACTTACATTCTCTCTCTGTCTATGTCTGGACTGTATCTCTCTTCTCCTGACAGCGGAGCCACTCACGCCATTCTCCAGGGATCCAACTGGCTGTATGTACACACCATCACACACATGCCACACACTTTGAATTTGTAGCGATTTATCTGGTGGGGCTAGGTGAACTCTTAAATCCACAACAGCAGGACGGTTTCAATGTGAGATGCAAACGTCAGCTCATGCGTTAATGTCCCCCCATGACTGCGGGCCAGCTAATTGAGAATCTTGAGCTGGAGTTGTCTATGCCGCCAACTTAAAATCCCCTCCGATTGAAAACTTCAGGTGCTTAAATAACAGAATACGCAGAAATAAACAAGTGTTACATTGTTTAGATGCTAATAGAACATCCCAAAACATTTTGAAACACAACAACCTTTATTGAGTTTGGATATTACAGCATCACAAACAATTGAAGATAAAGTATAATAGAGAATGGAGTATAGAGTTATATAATGCTAAGATAGGAACAAAATACAAAAAACTAACAAACATACCATCAGGGTTTGGCAGGGAGTTGGACCCAAGAACAGTACAAAATAAAATGGCGTAAAGATTTAACAAAAATAGATATTTTATTAGGGTCTGAGACCTGAGGTCGGCGAAGACCCTATTGCAATCGCTCGTGCAGCGAGCAATAAACCTGCGAAACACAACGCATCCCTCGCCAATAAACACGATGTTGCCGTTACTCCTATGAAAATGGTCCAAACTGCACCAGACTTCAGACTATCATTAATGGTCAGGCCCTCAACAGCTCTATGTCAATTAGGGGATGTCATCATATGCCGTTGCCATGGTGACAGATCCCTCGCCATGAAACACGGTGTTGTCCTAACTCAATGGAAAAATGGCTAAACGACACCAGACTGATACGGTGAGTGAAGCAGGTAGGACAGAAACGCAGATAACATTTGATAATACCTTTATTTCAAGGTCTAGAGTAAACTTTGGAACAAACAAAACACTCCATAGGTGAACTAGGTCACACACAAAAGAAGCACCAACACTGAACACAGGAGGAGACAAGAGTAAATACACAGAAGGGTAATCACTAGACAAGAAACAGCTGGGCAGGGGAGGAGAAACACAAGGGCCACAGGTGAACACAATCAGATAACTAGACACACCAGGGAACTAATGACAAGAGGAAAAACACAGGGAAAAGGACCAGACAATAACCCAGAGAAAACATGACATGGAAACCAGCAAAAACACCCAAACCTACAAAACTATAAACGTGACATGAACTTAGGAGCGTGACACAGACTTCATATGATGGGTATTGCCCTCAACAGCTCTACGCCAATTATGGGGTTTCATCATATGCCGTTTCCATGGCGACAGATCCCCCCCCAAAAAACACGAAGTTGCCGTTACTCCTATGAAAATGGTCCAAACGGCACCAGACTTCAGATGATGGCTACTGGTCCGGCCCTCAACACCTCAATATGACAATAGTGACTTTTCCTAAAAAGCTGTGGCCTTGGCAATGCATACCTCACCGTTAAGCACGATATTGCTATAACTCCTGTGTTTTTTTCACATGTGTGCTAACGGTCAAGCCCTCGAGACATATATGTGTCAGTTTTGAGATTTCGTCAAATGTCGTTGCTATGGTAACAAAATGGTCGCCGTGAAACACGGTTTTCTCATGACTCCAGTTAACATGCTCCGAACGGCCCAAAACTTCACAGGTTTGATAACGATGCAGCCCTCAACACATCTAGGCGTATTATGGGATGTAATCAAATTATGTTGCCATGGCGACAGATCGCTCGCCATCAAACACAATGTTTATGATACTGCTGTAACTCCCATGTACGTTTTCCGATCGAACTGAAACTTCCCACGTTTGCCAACGGCCGATTCATCGAGACATCTGCCTAACGTCGACGTGCGGACAACAGCCTGCGGAGCGTCGAAGACCTGCTCAACGCTGCTTGCAGCTTTAATTTAGATTGATTTTGTGAAACAAGATGATCCATCTTTTACAAATACCACAGCAGCTTAAAAACCTTGTGACATGTCAAAAAAAAAATGATTCTTCTGAGATCAAATTCAAAATAAGATGTTTTCAAGAGTGTTTGACTTCACAAGATACTTCAGATGCATTGTCTGATAACAAGACCCTATATCTCCCTGCACTGTGACTTCTTCAGTTATTATGTATTATATCATGACATGATTAGAAGTACAAAATATAAGCAATGTACAGCTATGGATGTTTAAACACCTAAACAAATCTATATCAGGCAGAGTAGATATCACAATATGTTCACCCCTTCATCTTGCTCTCAGACTTTCCACACTGAAGAAACAACAGTTATTTTTACCAGACCAGTCTCAGTATTGACTATGTTGATTTAGTGATATTTTATAAATGTCTGTCCATCCCTCAGTCTGTCCCTGATGCCAGTCCTTTGAAGCGCTCCGCCTCCATTGTGGCCCCACGGCGGCCCCAGGAGGTCAACCTGAGGGACTACACCCTAGAAAAACCCAGCCAGGACCGGGTCCACCACCACCACCGCTGCCACCACCGCAGAGACAGGGACAGAGACAAAGACAGAGAGAGGAGACAGAGGTCTCTGGATGTCCCTCTGGGGGGACAGCCCCCTGGCTCTGCTGGTAAACACACACGGTAGAGAGTTCAGCACACAGACACAACCTTACATTCACAATGTTTCCATATTTCATGTCATTTGGACCGAGCCAGACTAGAGGCTCCAGGCTTTTTGCTCAGCTTTAGTGTTTTAGTTTAATATATGAGCAAACACAATTTTTGTTTTCAGAAATCAGATGTCCACCTACTCCATTAAAAACAGATATTTTAAAAAATAATTATGAAAGTATTCTAATAGAAACCAATAAGAAAATGCAGGCACTAGGTCCACAGTATATTGATCTTTATACACTGTAATACTGCAAGAAACCCAATGCTGCCATTGTTGCCAAGCTAGCAGCGCTGCTGTACAATCAGAATGTTGATCTCTCAGTCCACCATTTTGATCCAGACTGACACATCTAACATTGTGATGGATTGCTATGACCAGTGATGTAAAGTAACTAAGTACATTTACTCAAGTACTGTACTGGGGTACAATTTTGAGATACTTGTACTTTGCGTGAGTATTTTAATTATTTCCTACTTTGTACTTCTAATCCACTACAATTCAGAGGTAAATGGTGTACTTTTACTCCACTACATGTTTTTAATACCTTTAGTTACTTCACAGATGTGGATGAATGATGTGAAATGTAATCAAGTGTTAAATCAGACTTTAGTTCCACCTTGAGTAAATTCACAAGCTACCCTGCAGTATACAAAGTCATTCAAACTAGCTGCACCTTTACCAGCTTTGAGAACACTTTAATGATCAATCATTATAAAACATATCATATATATTATTCTAAATGGACCAATCTACACAATGAATACTTTTACTTTTGGTACTTTAACTATATTTTGGTGCCAATACTTTTCTACTTTTACTTAACTTACATTTTGATTTAATCAAAATGTAAGTTAAGTAAAAGTAGAAAAGTATTGGCACCAAAATATAGTTAAAGTACCAAAAGTAAAAGTATTCATTGTGTAGATTGGTCCATTTNATATTACTTATATTCTAAGTACTATTCTATATTAAGTACATCTATTGAAGTACTGTACAATTATGTACTTACTTGCATGCTCCTTAATACTTCAACTTCACTACATTTCAGAAGCTCATATTTTACTCTAAACCTCATTGATTTGATAACATGAGTTACTTTGAAGATTTAGATTCTGTTAGAAAGTACAATAATATAAACATACAATGAATCACGGATGATTATGGTGCAGAACTTAAATGACCCATTGATTTTATTCACAACCTACCCAAAAGTATGGTAAAATAATAAATAAGTTCCACCTTTACATTTAAGCATGTTCTGACATACAAGGGATTGAGCGGGATTCGAAACCGCGCTCGCAGGGCGTATTTCGGCTACTTCACGGTTATCAAACATAGACTAACGCGCTATGTCTTTGGCGCAGGGACACCTCGGTAGCACTTGGGCTGCAGTCAAATAGTCCAAAGATCAGCTCCTAAGTTCTAACCCTATCGTCTATCCCTTGACCCTCTGAGTAGAAACGTCGAACGGGGTTAAGGATAGTGGATAGGAGAATTCAAAAGGATTTAGGAGAAGAGATTGCAGTACTTTAGAGAATCCGAATGCGGGACAACAGAGAAACATATGACCAAAGTTGGAATTGAAATAAAAAAGGAAAGTGAAACTTATGCTCGTCACCCTCTCCCTCCGGTCCACATTAATAAAAAAGATCCCAATACGTATTATTGTATGAAAATATCTTAAAATCAATACAAATGTATTTATTATAAACGTTAGTCCTTAACATCTATCACTGTGTATATCACCATTCAAACATCTTTTAAAAGTTGAACAAACTCCACACAGCTCAGTAGACTGTGAAATGTTGACTTTTTTTGATCTTTTCAGTAAAAACTAACGTTCATATTTCTCTTTTTGATTATAATACTGATGAACGTTCAGAACAAAGCACTTTGGCAACTTACCACATACGTTTTAAAATGCTTAATAAGCACTGTAACTTTCATGATATAATTTCTCCGTCATAATCGCTTGTTTCCGTGAACGGCCGACTGTTGTGTGACGGCGAATGCTGCGGCTGCAAGGCATTGTGGGGCAGCATTTTCTCCTCTCCTTTCGTCAAGGGAGGTCCAGTGGTTCCTAAGCTAAAGGAGGTTATAAAGGAAGTTTGAAACCTCCTTTCCTATCATCTAGAGAATTGGAACGGCACTTATCATGGCTGCCACTGAGGGACTTCCGGGTCATTTCACTCCGTTAGGAAGGTTCCTAAGCTAAATGGACTATTCGACTACTGCCTTGGTCTTGCCGGGACTTGAACTGGTGACCTTCAAGTTGTCAAGCCAAGTCCCTATGGACTTCACCAACATCGCCCTTATTTAATTTGGTGACGATCCGAACTTCATGCTGCTACTCTGGTTCAAACTGCATCCACCAAACAATATGATTTACCTTTCTCCGACTCCCCAAAATAACCAAAATCTGACTCAGTGTGAAATGTATTTTCTTAGATGTTCTGTCGGCATTTCCTGCGATCTTCTTCATGCAGTCAGTCTAAATTAATATACGGGGCGTTTCTTTCGCTATTTATAGTCAAATATGGGTTACGTGAAGCCCGCAAAAGCTGCGCCGCATTTCGAATTGATTCTGATTTAGGCCTATAATGGGAAACCGGCGTATGATGAGCGTGTGCAGTCCTACGCCGGTTTATATCAATCTGAATGTTTTTGTCTGTATTTACTTGCTTTTTGCTGCGTACGCCACCTTCCCACGTGAATCCTACGCAAGTTTTAAAAATGAGGCCCCTGATTCCAGTTTCTTTTATGCCTGTGTGCATTTGTTTGAGAGGCTACCTAACACGGTGAGTGACCTACACACAGAATTGAAAGGACAGAAGGCAACATTTACACTGAGGCACTGCTCTATTGGAAAGACAATATAGTAGCAAAAAGCAGCATGGCTTTCAAAGCTAACCTCCTAATAGGTTCAATGATTTTGATAAGCTGGAACCCTGTGTGGCATTCATTGCCAACCCCTTCACAGAGATGTCAGAGTAAATGGCTGAACTGTTCAGTGTGAATCCTGTGGAGATGGAGGTTATAAATCTCTAAAATCATGTTCAGCTTGAGTCTCAGCAAAACTCACAACATTTCTGGAGCCTTGTAGACCCAGAAAACTATAAGAACATTCACCAAGCAGCACTGAAAATGTCTGCTTTATTTGGCTCTACATACCTTTGCGAAGCAGCTTTTTCTGACATGAATGTCATGAAATCTAAATACAGAACAAGACTGAGTGATGAACATTTAAATGACTCTATTAGAGTGAACCTAAGTGCACACACTCCAGCATATATGGTGGAGTGCAGTGACAGTCATCTCACTAACTGTAAAAAAGAGTGAATGCACTTATTCTACACATGTGCAATAAGATGCTTGTAAGGTGGTGATTAAGGTGATATATTTACTATGTGGGCCATAATAAGACGTGAACATTTTTATTTTTTTCTTGGACATTTTTTTGAATTTTCAGTGATGTACTTACTATGTGGGCCATAATAATATGTGAGAAATTGTCGTTTTTCTTGGACCTTGATTTGAAGTTAATATTTTTGATAAGCTTTGGGTATTGCAATTTCACACGTGAAAATGTTGCTTAATTCAAGTGCTATGTGAATAAATGTAAGCGATGTGATGCAAGTAGCTCTTGGCCACTTTAATTTTTTCAAAGTAGGTCTCAGATGAAGAAAGGTGATCAAGAAAATAAAAATACAATGACAAGTTTTACAAAGAAAATATGGACAAAAATTATTTTTTTTGGTCGGATCCTATGGAAAACAGCAAGCACTTCCTTACAAAGAAACTGAAGTCCTGATACACAACTATTTTCTTAGCACCCCCACTTATTGGTCTAGCCCCGCCTTAGCACCAGGAGAAATAAAATCCTGGCGCCGTGCCTCTGAGAAGTTGAACGTGTATCTCACTGCAGTCAAGCTGGCAACACTTCATGAGGGAACTTCAGGAAAAAAACAAAAACACCTTGGACAAAATAAAAAGAGCAAAATTACTTTAATTTGAATTTAACTATTAAATCACATGTGTGTTTATTAACCAAGGCGTTGGTGGTTTGATGTGTGTGCTTTTATTTTATTGTGTTTAAGTTCTATCTTCTCTCTCTGACCTAAATCAATTTTCAAAGATTGTACAAGGTGCTCTTACAGAATACATTTAAATATGTGCACTGTTGCTCAGAATGATAATAATCGTGTTCATTCACAAAAGAACAGGAGAATATATATTTTTTAATGGAACCTTGAATTCATAATCTCATTAAAAACAGGGCAAATGGTGTTGTTTTTTCTCAAGTGAATGTGTTACGCCGCTGAAGGATTGATTTTGAAAATATTATAGATAGGCCCTAGTTATTCTTTTTGTTTTTTAGCAACTAATCGATTCTTCCAACTACTGACACAAGACACATATGGCACCGTTATACTCAGGCCGTGATGCACACAGAGGTGCTGTAACGTATCCACACACTGATCATGTCCAGCAGGTGGCCCTCACCATGTTAGTGGTGAGCTCAGGGCCGTCAGATTGTTCTGTGTGCACTGGGGGCCCTGGATTTTATCCTAGTAGTATTGTGCAACACATCTCCAACCCCCCACGCTGACCCACACACTCAGCTAACCGACACATTCTTCAGTCCAGTGAAGCAGCTAGCTAGCACACCATGCTCACCAAGTCCCAGGCCTTTCATCTGAACATGCAGAGTGCGTTACTGGCACGTTACAATGAAGTTTAAAGTGTTGAATGCACGTATAATGTTTTCACAAAGCTGACTCTAACTCAGGGCCGGCTCTAGACAATGTGCTGCCCTAGGCGAGATTTTATCTGGCAGCTAGCACCAGATTCTAATAACAACAGCGCTGTAACGATGCGCCCTCCCTCTCTCCCTAGCTCGCTCGCTCTCTCACTCGCACTTTGGCTGTGAGCTGCGGGTGCCAGATAAGCCAACATCCCCCACTTTCATC